ATTAAATAATATTTTTATAATTAATTGAAAATGTTAAAGTATTATTGAAATATTATTGATTAATACAAAGTATAAAACTAGAAAAATTATAATTATTATATTAACATATAATTTAAGTATAAATATCCTTGAGAAAAATTTGTACGTGAGCATTTTGAAACAAGAAGATTTATAATAAGGCTGCAAATTAGAATGAAATTCAGCCGAATTAATCATCTCTATTATCAACAAAAATGTCATATAAATTAGAGAATAAAATAGAGAATAAGAATTGGAACTTATCGGAAACTGTGTATTCCACAATACATGATTTCTGATAGGTTGAAATTGTTATTCTCTGTTTCCTGTTTTGATCCTTTTTATTGTTTTTGTTGTATCCCCTGATACAACAATATTAGGGATTTCGCACAATAAAAGGAACAAGGAACAAAGATATTAGGTCTGTTTTTTTATTGCTGCATTCTGAACTGTACAATAAATTAAAGTGAAACAAACATATACTTGGTTTATTTTAACTTATTGCACTGTGTGTACTAGTTCAGAAAGTGCAACAATAAAAAACAGATCTTATATATTCCACAATACATGATTTCTGATAGATTGAAATTCTTATTCTCTATTCTCTGCTCCTTTTATTGTGCCCCATACACTGCTCGACATAGCAAAAAGCTAAGAACAAGCGTGTAAAATATGTCAATTATCAACTTTCCAAAAAGTTATTTGATAGCCGCATTTATTTTGCAAAACCTTCAAAAATCGCCAATATGAAAAAATTATAACTTAAGTCTAAATAAAAATCATAAATCTATTATTGATACGCTAAATATAATTTAAATATAATAATAATTATAAGAATAAGAATGGAAGAACTACAATGCATTCTGGTGTTAAACTATGAAACTAACTGTGTTTCGACAAATACTTTACAATGGAACATAATGTAACGTCTCTATGTCCTAGCTGGAAAACAGCTGTAATCAATAATAACTTAATATATAAATCAAGGCATAAATCAAACCATATAAATGTAGTCATTGACCTCCGTTACACGACACGCTTATTCGGGTTTAAAATATCCGTATTTATGAAATTGGCCAATCATAGCTATTCCTTGGAAGACTGTTACTATGTTTACACAATAGGTTTTACGCCGAAGTTATTATTATAGTTATGAAACTGGCCAATCATTCCATTCTTTAGAGAAATAACTATGATTGGCCAGTTTCATAACATCGATGTTATAACTTCGGCGTAAAGCCGTGTAACAGAAGTCAGTGATTGGTCAGTTTCATAACTATGGATGTTATTAAACCTGATTAAGGGTGCTGTGTAAATGTAGTTATTGATATGTATTAATATTTTTTTTTTACATATTTCTCTAACTTCTCTACTTAATTTCTTCTAAAACAAACAATGTAAAAATAGTCGTAGCCATAAGTTGCTCGTAACATTTTCGAGTCTCACGACCACCCTTAATTACCTCATAGCGTACAGTTGTATAGATAGAATAGCTAACACTTTTTTCAATAGATATATTCTGCTTCATCAAATGATAGGTTCTTATTTATGGATCCATAAGTAAGAACCAATTACATTACAATCGGCAGGCTGCATTCCGAAACCTATTAAAAAAAAATGATGCAACTATTCTGTCTACGACTGTACAGTCACGACTTCGCTATCTCTGTATCGTAAGTAGCCCTGCGGTCTTCAGTTGGCCGCTTGGGTCGCCAGTAGTCGCCAGTCTAGCGAATATGGCTGAGAACAATGGCATTGGTTGTTATTGAGCTAACTTTGTGTTCCGCTGGCACTTGTCAACAAAGACATTACCTTTAATCTACGCGCGACGGATTGCAGTCGCTTGGTATAGTGTAACCTGTAAGTTGCCCTTTCGAGTCCTCTCATCCTCCTACAATTATTTAGCAAGTAATCTCGCAAATGTCTCGCTCGCGGAACATTCTCGGAAGGTGCTGCGAGGCGATCGTACTCCGTTCCCGGCAATCCCGGCGCCGCTCGATGATTCCCGCTGCTTTTTCAATTCGATGTTCGTGACGGCACTCGATATCGAGCTCTAATCTCGTATTCGTGTCTCACGACGCGCGAACTGCCCTTCCCCCCACGTGTGGATCCCTCGCGAACATCATACATCCCCAGCATCCGCTCGGTCCTCTTTCTCGTGTTTCACCCGATCCTGCTTCATCGAAGATCATTCGAATGCATGATCTTTTCGTTTGCCTCGTTGATCTATTGATTATATCGCAAATCTTGATCGTTATTTTCTCGCCAAGCGCTGTGATAACTGCCGATTTAAATCTAATATTCACATCGCGTTCTGTTACTTGCTAGTCGAGTTTCTCTGCATGAAGAGATCTTAAACGTTATTTTTATGACGATTAAAATCAAACAACTCCTAACTTATTGTATAATTCACTATAATTCAATATACATTTTGCTTAGTATATTTTTTATATGAATCTCATTTTTTTATTGTTGATGTTATCTTCATGATATACATCATAAAATGTAGATTTTATTAATTATTGTATTATTTTATTATTTGAATTATATTTTGCATTTATACAATAGAAATTTATATTATATAATAAATGTAATAATAATTATTGCTAGAAGTTATTAGAAACAACTAAGAGGTTTTTCTTTCTTGATGCATTAGATTGCGTTAGAATTTTCTTCTCGTTTTCATCAATTTTTAAGTATTTGGGCTGGTTTCACCAATGTCAGTTAACTTAATTGATTGTTAACTGATCAGTTGTATTTGCTGTTTAGTAGAATTGATCAATTGCAGTTGACAATTAATCTCGATTTGGATTAATTGGTGTTACTGAAACCAGCTCTTTATCTATTTTATTTTAAGTACAAAAGTATATACTAATTCAGTTATAAAAAATAATCCTGGAAAGTAGTCTAGTAATTTCTTTACTGTACAATTATGTATATTCAGAATATATACTTTGTTATTATGTCTTCTATTTGAATAGAATTCTGAATGAAATGTTGCAGTTTTTATATAAATTATTGAATATTGAAGCAATTGAATATTTTACTAGTGCATATTAAACATAGATATTATTTCGCAAATTAAATTTAAAAAATATAAATAAATTGATACAACTTTGTTATTTTTATTTATATTTAATTTCTCACATAAATTTCTCACGTAAGTACGCGTGTGTGTGTTTGTGTACTTTTTAAATAAAAATTAGAAGTTTAATTACTAGTATATCTAAAATTAATATTAGAGTACAAGTATAAAGATGGAATCACGATGCTCGATTTCTTGAATGATAGCATGCATACAGTCATATCCGCTCTGATGTATGTTAGAATTCATTCATGCATTGAACGCTGCATACTGCAATTACATGATTTTTCTATTTATTATGGATTACTTCAGTTTATTTTCTTGCATGTACCTATCAAAAGAAATAATTGCTTTCATAGTTATTTGTCAAATATCAGACTGTATGCATCAAAGCAAGCATAACAGCATGCGTGCATACTTGTCATTAAAAAAATCGAGCATTGTGTGAATCAATCTTAATATAACACAAAATATCATTAAATATTAAAAATTATCTTGATATATTTATATCTATTATTGCAAAATATGTTCAATTAGTTTTTTTACAAAATATAGAATTGTCTATTATTACATGTAAATAATAATGATTTATTGTATTTTATGTCCTATGTTATTGAATTATACATATAAATTTTTATAATAAAAAAAAATTTTCTTTGTTTAATTAAATATATTAAATTAAATTATATTAAATGAATTAAATATATTAATTGAAGCATTACGTCAAAATATATTTTAACATAAGTCTGAGAAAATTTGAATGAATACAATATAAAGAGTATATAATTCTTTTATTATTATATGTTGCAGGTACACAATATTATGGCAACTGCTATTCAGGAAAATGGCATGAAACCGTTAACAAATAAATCATTGAATCATGTAAATGATGTTAATTTGGACAATGCAAATTCCTGTACAGAAGAAAAGGACAATAGATTGTTTGATGGTCAACTTCAACCATATGTTGATCATGCCGAGAAACCTCATGAAGAGATTCTTGAAGAGCCCCATGAAGAGCCTCCAGAACTTGATATTGTTATTAACAATGTAGTTTGCAGCTTTAGTGTAAGATGTCATTTGAATTTGCGAGAAATAGCGCTCAATGGATCTAATGTTGAATACAGAAGAGAAAATGGGGTATGTGTTAAGAATTTTTGTATATTCATCTTCTCCATAAGAAATGATTTTTCTTTTACTACATTGTAATTCTTGATAAATTAAAGTTTTCAAGATGAAAGTGCTAATCCTATGTAGATCTTAATTTTGTTATTAGTTTATATTTGCAATCTTTGTCAAACAGAATTGTGAGCCTTTTCCAACCTTCATAATGGAAGACTAGACTTGTTTTTAACTTATCTATTATTAAATAAAAATAAACTGTAATGACTCAATAATAATAAACAAAAATGAATACAATTTCTGCAAATTATAATTACGTAAAGTGGAGGACCTATTTCTTCATGTCTGTTTTTCAGTTGCAATAATGCAATGCTTTCTGTCTTGTCATCTTCGTAGTTACATTCTTCTATTGTATCGGTCGCAATTTATCCAATAATATAATGATAATAAAATGAAAATAAATCCGATAATATAATGATAATAAAATTAATTAATTAAGACAATATAACATTAGTAATTTTTAACGGAACTGTTTTTAATTTTCTCAATTCTAATCGCATTTGCCTCTGTTAAATTAATTTGACGTTTCAATCATTGGATTATTTTAGCTAAATCTTTACATTGAGAATGTGTGTTTGCAATTTACGGAATGACTCTATATGTTCAATTAATTTTATTTTCACTACGGATAAATTGCGACCGATGTAATAGAAGAATGTAATTATGAAGACAAGACAGAAAGCATTATTGCGAAACTGAAAAACAGACATGAAGGAAGATCCTCCACTTTACGTAATTATAATTTACAGAAATTGTATTTAATTGTTGTATGATTTTTATTAAATTCGCATTAATTTATCGACAAGTATATACACACTGAGGACAAATAGGTCGAAATATATGTGTTTAAGAATCTAAATATACGAAAAATTTGATTCTTAGCCCTTCTGTTATTCATTTTTGTTTATTTGTTATTATTATTGGAAGTTTCTATTCACAAAGGGACAAAATAGTATTCTTCTAGATTTTCCTGAATTAAGATATTCATGTTTTGAGTACTTCGTTTTTATCACAATGGAACATTTTTTTCCCTACTCACAAATTCGTAATATCATATATATGAAATGATAATTTCGAGAAACAAATTGTTTGATAAGTAATTGTTCTAGCAATAAACTATCCAATATAATTAAACTATCCAATATAATTAAAATTATTATTGCTATATAATTACAAACCAATATCTAGTAAGAATCTATCAAAAAAAGACATAGAATAAGAACTATGCCATCTGTATCTAAATAGAATAGCTAACATGGTCAACAAAAATGACAGAGTGAACATGACCAATCTTCTTCTCTTTCTAACATTACACAGAACAGAAAGAGATAGTGATTAGTTATCTTCCCGCCTTATCTCTTATTTTTTTCGATCAATTGTATACAGATTGTGCAGTCCATGTTTTGTCTTTGGAATCTACATACAAGTCTCTATTTAGAAAGGAAATAACTGAATTCTAAAAAAGCATAATTCACATTATCAATTTTAAATGAAATATTTAATTTGTATTTATCTTTACTTTGCGTCGTATATTTTATTATATTCATCGAAACAAAATTTCTCTAATTAAAAAGATAATATCACAATATCATTCTTAAAACTATTATATGATTTAGTTACTTAGAAATATACAACTGTTTCTTGAAACAGTTTTTTTCTAAACGCAGCATTCTTACACATATTATATTACAACTGATGTAATAAAATATCCTTGCTGATTAACATATAAAGCTTGTCTCATATGTTTTCATCGTAGAAAATATTATAGAAAAATTCATGAAAAAGCAATAAAATAAAATTTTTAGACCAATAATTTTTTAAAACTTATATAAAATATGATTTATCAGAACAAAAATCTGTAAATTTGCATATTCTAAGTTTATTGTTGCCTGCAATATTTTAAATTTTAGTGAATAAAAATTTTTGATTACATGATAAACTAAATTATCTTGATAATTTATTAAGTATATATATTTTTTATTTACTATTTAATATTTTCTATTTATAGATAATATATTTAGAAAGAATATAAAGCATATATAGACATGATTTAAAATATATAAATTAATATAATTCTTTGTGATTTTTAGATGATAACGATGAAATTAAGGCGACCATATACTACAGCATCCATCTGGTCATCTGGTAAAGTAACTTGCACTGGTGCAACCAGTGAAGTTCAAGCAAAAATCGCAGCACGTAGATTTGCCCGTTCCCTTCAAAAACTTGGATTCAAAGTGAGATTCAATAATTATAGGGTGGTCAATGTATTAGGCACTTGTTGTATGCCATTTGCTATCAAAATAACATCATTTTCAGTACATCACAAAGAAAATGCTGAGTAAGTATAAAAGAAAATGCATTTAATAGTTATAGCATACTATAAATATATCTTTTCAATTTATTTAAAAAATTATTTTGTTAGTATATTATTTAAAGTATTTTTCTCGATGTAAAGAATCCAACATTTTCTGATTATTATCAATAATTATTAGTTAATAATTATATACAAATATATAAGTATATGATAGTTATATAAATATTTTTATGTGATTTACAGTTATGAGCCAGAGTTACACCCTGGTGTCACATATAAGCTAAAAGAACCAAAAGCTACTCTGAAGATATTTTCTACAGGAAGTGTTACTGTAACAGGTTGGTATTATAATTATACATTTTGTTATTATAGAGAAATTTATAGTCATTTTGATACATTATTTTACTAAGATTTTTAATCTCTGTATGTCCTTGAGAGACCACATAAAGTTTAATATCAGGAATTTTATGAAATTATTTTATCAAAAATATATTAATATTTTTTTGTGCGCGAATAAATAAGTATTTTTACATTAAATATTTTGGTTTTGATTATATAGTATTGATTTTGATTATATAGTACAGCATTGCTTAAAAATTTTAATTGAATAAAATAGAAACATTGAATATATATTATCAGAAGTTAAAAATTTTTGTATTTCATAAATATCAAAATATATTTTTATGTTTGTGTTTCATGAATCATTGTAAATTAATTGACATAAAAAGTATATAATTATACAATAATTGTTTATTGTGTTATAGCACCTAATGTTGCTGCAGTCCAAGCGGCAATTGAACATATTTATCCACTAGTCTACGAGTTCCGCAAGGAGCGAACGCCAGAGGATGAACTTGCGTTCACAACGAAGAAACGCAAGTTAGGCTTGAACAAAAGAAAACGGGATGAGTTCCTAGAAGATGAGCCAGATTTGTCGTATGAAAGTATGATCTCTGATGCAGAAGATGCACTTAACGAAGTAGAAACTGACGGCAGTTGGGACTGATTTGTTTTATTTTATCGCTCTACTGTTAAATGTGAAACTGTTGTCTATATCTCGTTCTTTCGATATGATACTGCTCTATGTACAAAAGTGTTATTGCTAAAAGTGAAGTGAAGCGTACATTCGTTTCCATATAGTGCATGAACAAATGTGTGAGTGTTAGGAATAAAAATAGAAATACATATATGCACTTATGTATACAATATACACAGGGGCATAATTATCAAGTACACATCAAATGAACTGATTATCATCCTAGATAGTTACTTTTGTTAGCAATATCACATTATAAATACAAATATAGATATATACGTAATATGGAATTCACTACGTATAATACAAATGTAAATATGAATACATATATGTATATATTTGTATTTATATATTTCTAAATAATTCTTCGCACGTAGATGTATCTTCTACATCTACACGTATGTATATGCACATACATGAATATGTATGTGTATGTATGTATATATAAATATGCGTAGAAAACGTTTTTAATTATAGAACTGATTAATTTTTTGGAGTTTATTTATCAATAGGCAAAACTTATATATTTGCTTCTTTGGACAAATGATTAGTACAGGTTTAAAAAGAATTGCACATGTCCACGTACATGCATATTGTGAATTATGGCCTGTACATTTACGTTTCCATTAATTTTATTTTCATGTTTAATGGTAACTAGTTTTGCTTAATTAAAATATTGTGCCAAAGATAGATATTCAAAATTTAAAACAAAGTGATCAAGATGAAACATGACTTTATTGTAATAATTAGCTTCCAAAGTGCTTGTAATCGATTGAAATGTGACCGAAAATATTTTAATTTCTTAATTAATATTTTATAGAAAGTATTTCATAGAGATAAAAATCATTTTATTGTACAATTTGGATTCCATATTCTAAAAAGTGCATACCAATTAATATAATTCCGTACAACAACTCCAACAGCTCGTCCTCGCTCAAATAACTTCTATTTACTCAAAAGAATTTATGTATCCTATAATTTACTACTATATTCCTACATTTCTCTTGGTGTCTTTTTCTAAGTGTACAAATATTATTTTATATATTTATATTCACAAAATTTTCTATACAAGATATAGTAGGAATCATTTAAATATTATTAGCACATATTAATATGTTAATAATATAATTTGTTAAAACATTTTAAACTATAGAATCTATATACAAAATTATAATTATAGCATAAAAGTACGATGAGTAAGCAAATTAAATCTATACATTCATTTTTATATTATTAAGAATTTATATGATTAAGAAATCCTTTCATTTCAATATTTTTTTTATATGAAACACATAAGATTAATTTACATTATTTGGACGAATACGGGCTGTTTTTATAAAACATCTATAAACGTTAAATTTGATTTTAAAGTGTCTATTACATAAAAAGATGTAGTCTGGTTTGCAGTATTCATGAATTCAGATTCACGTATTACAATAGTGTTTATTTTATTTACGTAAATATAATAAGAAACTGAAGTTGGAATCGTGACAATTTAGAACTGTGACAAACTATTCTTTGTAGAAATTATAAAAATTCATTGCGTCGATGTTTTGTGAAAAGTACTTTTAAAAATCGCAAGTTAAACGTATGAAACGAATGTATTGTGTTCAATGAGATATTTATTTTCGACTTATATATTCATATAACTGACTGAAATTGCATATTCTAGAATCTGCAACAAAGACATAAATAATGCGATAGAACACGTTAGTTGTTTTTTTTTGTATTAGTCATCCACATATACATTAATACATACACATTAAAAGTATTTATTTATCACTTATAGTATCCTTATGATATTAAGCGCGTTCGAATCATGTCATTTTCATAAATATTAATTTTCTGCAAATCTAAAGTATATTTATCTGAACAGCTTACATTAATGTTTATTTTTTCCATTCATAAAATATTTTCACAAAAAGAAATATTTTTACACACAATTTTACAAATCTAATTAATTGTATTTTTAGAATTCAGTTTTTATTGTAAAGATGTATATCGGATATTGTGCAAAACATTACATGAAGGTATAATATAAATGCGTTGTCTTTCTTATATTTTGCGATTATTTACAAAATTTAACCTTTAGTTTGCAATTAGCTGAAGAAAAGCAATATATTGGTACATGAAAAATCATGATATAGAAAAATTATTAAAGATTTGCGTAATACATTGATAGGAAAAATTAATAGAAAAATTAATATGTGAATATCATATAAATATCTTATCACACATTAAGTACAAGATAATATGATAAGGTATGGCCGATATTTTATTAAATAATTAATCTGTTCGTGCCATATATGACATTATATATTCGTTAAAATTAGTTAAAATTAGTTAAAGTAGAATTTCATAATTTTCATAATGTATATATTCTTTTTACACTGAACAAATTTTTTACAATTTAAGGTAAAGTCACTGCCCTTAGTGTATTCAATCAGAATATAAGACTAAATCCACTAATGAGTATGTGACACAAGCTAGCACATTTTGTTTACATTATTGGAAATAAATGCTACTCTTTGCGTTAATTAATCATAGGAGTTAAAGTTTAAGCAAATAAAGAAGTTGAATGATGATTGACATTATCGAAATGTAATGACAAAAATAAATTCTATCATATATTTAATTTTCTTGATTATTGTGTAGAAACGTTTCCTTTTGTTGCATTTAACTTCTTTATATTAATATCTAATAAAATATAGCATATCGGCGTATGTGGCCTTATCTATATATTTATGAATTTGAAAAAGAGGAAAGTAAAATTTTCCATGAATTTTAATTTTTAGAAATTAAAATTTTTGTGATATATACAAAAAATGCTTTGGTTTTTAAAAATTATCTTATTTTTTTTATTTATATATTAATCAATATTTTTCGATACTTTATATAATATGCCATTAATATAATTTTATTTACTCAATGCTTTTTTTTATACAACAGAAATTTTTTATACAATCGATTACATATTATTTTTTTATTTTACACTGAACTTTGTTAAATATTTTAACACAGTTAGACACACTACTTGGTCCCTAATGCTGAATAGAATTAGACGAGCAATAGAAAGTAAGATCTCTATTGTCATCAATAATTCGGACTTCTCTAATCTCTTAATATCATATATTAGACATAAAAACGATCGCAATTAAATCACACAATGAAAAAAATACATATTTAATTTATTAAACTTTTGTGAAACTTAATGCAATATTAAAGAGAATCAGAAAAATAACTTTCAACAGTTTTAATAAAAATATAGTGCATTTTCGAACAAAAAAGTAATTACAAATGTTTAAATTAATATAACATACTATATTATATAATTAATATAATAATAAAAGCACATTTGTAAATGTATTTTTTAAATATGATCGTTCAATTAAATATTAAGCGAATACAATATTATATTTACAATTATTTTTAAAAGAAATTTGATAAATAATTTCTATTAAAAAATGTTAAAAACTTTCTTTATTCAAATATGTACAATAATACACATTTTTTGCAACAATATATATATATAACAATAATAATAGACTTATAACTACGTTCTAGCAAGCGGTATTATTAGTTTGTAGTTGACAATAGATTTGATCGATATTGTGCAACGAATAATCTTTATGTAAAAGATTTCCATTTTTATAGATACAATTTTAATTTTCAGCATAACTTCTCCTTCATTGTTCGATTTTTCGTTGAGTATCATCATTCATTATTATTTAATTCATCTTTGAACTCATTTATATAAAAATCTTGTGGATTACGGAACTACATAACCACGATTAAATAGATAATTACATAAAAACTTTACTCATACAGTTAAAAAACATTTCTTATCAAAGCGAATCTTAGCACTTAATATTTTGATGTGAATTTTTACACTTTTCAATTTATTTAATAGATATAAATATACATTAAGAAATATAAAAAAATATGTATTTTTTTTAATTTGAAACAGTCATTCATTAAATGCAGCGAGAAATTCATTTACTACCGGGAAATAATAAAAAGCCATAGTCTTAGCATCCTAGAAAATTAATAAGAATGACATTAAGAGAATGAGTGTATGCATGAGAAAGTTTAATCAAAATATTTGTTTTAAAAAATTTAATAATATGGAGAGATGGGAAATTATTTAATAATCGCTACTCTCTTTGTTGATTGTTATAATAACGATTTAGTAATGACATTACAAATTTTTTATTACGGTAATGGTAACACCAGAGAAAAGTCAATCGTTACTAACGGGTTGAAAAAATTATTCGAAACTGAAAAAAAATTCCTAAATTTGTAACGCGTTACTTTTTTACTCATTACTTGTAATGAGTAACGTTACGAAATTATTCATTTCTTATTTTTTTCAGTAGATAATAATAGTGACAAATTATTCCTCAAAGTGACTTTTTCAATTTTGACACAATTTTAGGATTTAGTTAGTGTTATTGTCATAAAAAATTGCAACGTCATTGTCGAATTGTTTATTATAAAAAATAATATTTCCCAACCTTGAAATATGTACAATTTCTAAAATCACTCAAATTTCCTTTATTTTTTTTATTAAATTATTTTTTTTAAATAAATTGAAGTCATAATTTAAAACTTTCTTTAATATATTAACTTATATTACTTTACAGTAAATTACAAGTTATTAGTTGTTTAAATCAAGTTAAAAATTTGTAATAGATTTTTAATATTTACCTCTTTTGTATTTATTTTTAAGCCTCTTTTACTTAGTGTGCATCTGTAGGCTAATATAGCATAATGATTGCTAATATTCAATAAAGTCTCCAGATCACAATCTCTTAAATCGCTGCGTACTTTTTTTGAAAAATTTTTCAAAAGATTACCATTCTCACTAAAAGGCTGTTTAAATAATTCTTTTAATGCCGCTTATTTGTATATAATAAGTTTATATATAATAAGTTTAGCATTTTCATCTCTTGTTCGTACATACCTCATCACACCATAATGCTTTATAAATATCATTTGCATAAATAGATATAATACGAATTTTTTCTTCGTATATATCTGATGGCATAATCTGGCGTAAATGTGGACTCATTTCGCGATATCTGTAATAATTCAAGTATCAATAATATAGAATGAAATTAATTTAAAAAGCAATGAATTATTAAAAAAAATTAATACCTCAATAGTAATCTACAAATTCTCGACAAAATAGCACAACTCTTCGTAATAAATGCTCCATAGATGACTGCTGATGGCGGCAATGTCCAAGATAATACATGACTACGGCTTTCTAATGTACAGATCTTTAAAACAGACACAAATAAATACTTAAAAATTAACCAGTTAAACATTCTAATTACATTATTTACAATTTTTCTATATACCTCTTCATAAAATGCTAAACATTCTGATAACAATATGACATTGTAATTGTGTATGTTCAATCCACAAACAATAAGATTTTCTAATATTGTTGTAATCACAGGTACGATCTCTGCTAAATCTTCTAATCGACCTTGTTGCAAAAAGGATGATGCATATTGATCCTGTTCTTCAAGTTCTTGTCTTACGAACTGTAATGAATTGTAATGTAACAATTATACATATATGTAAAGAAAATAAACTGTTAACATAAATGCAATTTGTATTTTGCAAAAAAATTAGTCTTGCGTACTCCTGTCACAATCAATATTCATATATAATCTCTATGTGTTTGTTTAATATTGTTATAATGATATTAAACAAACACATAGAAATTATATATGAAAAATTAACTAAAAAAAAAGATATGTTATAAATTGAGAAAATATATTCAATGCTTACAAAGTTCGTAATTAGTTTCTGTAGAGATCTAATTATTTCACATTTCATGTTTAAATTTGATTCATAAAATATATTCTGTACATGTATTAGAATGTTTTCTCGTAACTCTGAAATATAAATAATAATAATGAAATATAAATGTAACATTTTAATTTGATATTTTAACATTTTATAAGAGCTAAAACAGCTTCATAGTTACCAGTTACTGATATAGAAGTCATCCATTGCAACAAATCTAGTAATTTTGGCAAATGCTCTCCTGAATTATAATATAAATATTCATCAAAGAACAGTTTAATTATAAGTATTCCTTCCTGCATGTATCGAGAAAATTCGATTGTCATAGTTAAAAATTTATCCATTTCTTCTTTGGAAAATTTTCCATTTTCCAATATAAATGCTAAAACATTAATATACTGGTTTTAAAATATATAAAGTTTAGTAAAAAATTATATTAATAATTTATATTAAATAGTTTTTTATATTAGAAAGAAAATAATCAATAAACATACCTCTTGTAAGTGTATTGTAAAGATTGTACGAAAATCTACTTTGGTACTGAAAGTCTGCGTATGTAAGAAGATGGTAACCAATCATATTTGCCAAAAGCGAAACAGCATTGCAAGGCAATTCAATATTCTGATGATATTTTCCTAACTCTTCTATGCTGATACACACATACACACACATACACACACACACATATATATATATATATATAAATATAATATTGTATATTAACATTGTATATTAATATCAATATAAGTGACAAAATATATTAGTTCAGATATATTACTCACCTATTTATATCAAAAATTGACTTTGCATCTTTATCTTTAAAAATACTTGAACCCATATGAAAATAACCAATAGATGGTAAAAGTGCCTTTGTTTTTTTCTTAACTTGTAAATTTTATATGAATAACAATTTATATAATCTATTTTAAATTCATATTATATATATTATATTTAATACTCATACATTTATACCTGCATTACATTCCACTTAAAAGGTTGAATGCTTTGACAAGACTGTTGAATTTCCGCACGATCTCTGGCATCTTCTAATGCTAATCGTATAACTTCAGGAATAGGTTTCCATACACTTTCTATATTCACTGATTTTATTTTCTCAGGTACTAATTCTGGTTTATATGATTTAAATAAGCTATAAACACTTTTAATAAGTATTTTTATTAATAAAGCAAATATTATATACAATTATACTTACGAAAGTAATGCAATAATATATGTTGGAGATTTAGAATAACTTTTCTGAAATGTTAATAATCTTGTGACATCTCTACGTGAAACATCTTCAGGTTTTGTCAGCACATAAATAAGACGTGCTATATAACATGCCTGAAATTTATATACGATACAGAATATTTTACTATTAGATTAATTTAAAGCTTAATTTAAGCAAGATATATTTCAATCAGATTTTAATACATAATAAAGATATATATTAAAATATCAAGCTAAAATTCTTTGTCATAATTATATTAAAGCTTTTTTAATACCAAAAAAATATATAGACACATTTTTACATTCTTTTTTTAAGAATAAATATAAAATATAAAATATAAAATATTTATATAAAAAAGAATGTATATATT